TTTTTATGTCTTATTATTTTTATTTTTGCATTTATTTTAAACATGTCAGGTCAGCTCACCAGTCAACAGGTTGTGCGTTCATCACACTTGCTTCAAGCAGAAGTTCAAGAGACAAATGAGCTTTTTCCCAGGAAAGATGAAAGCAGATCTGATCCAATAAACAAGCCAGAAACACGATTCACTGTTAAACTCCTTATTTGTATTCTTGGTACTGAGCTAAAATGTAAAAAGGAAGGACTGATGGCAAGCACTCATTAAAACAGTTCAATATTACCACCCGTCCCTGCACCAGATGCTTGCAAATGTTTTTCAGCCGGACCGTCCAGCAAAATGAAGTCAATGAGCACATCCATCCCCACCAGAACAAAGAAGAACCTTTCTCTCCTGAGTCTTCTCCCTCAGCCTCGGCTGTTCGTGCTCAGCAGAATATTTCACTTTTTGGAGTCATTTCTCCAGCCGTCTGGCAAACGAGGCGCTACGATTCTGAAACTTTCACTTCCTGTCGAGCACATCTGAAAGCGACTGATGTGGGCAGCAGTCTGACCTGAGAGCATCTCGTTTTTTCGAAAAAGCAAAGAGACGATGTGCACAGCCACAGACATCAGACACGTGCATGCACTCAGTAGTCATGTTTGGTGCCCTTAGCAGCAACGGACGATTGTTGAAAAGAAAACAATAATTAAATTAGGGATCTAAATGTCCTAAACCACAGCTTTGCTGTATTTCTCCCAGCGTGGCGTCAACCAAGGGAAAGGCATCGTAAATGACCCCACATCCTCATTCTTTCTCACTTTCTTGTGTTTGTTTATTTTCTGCCATCTAACTGTGAGTGAAATTAAAAAGGTCTCGCTGGAACCAGCTGGATTCCTTCTGAAACCACCAGACTTCTGGTCTCTCGCGTCTCTGTCCTGGGAATAAGCTGCTTTTTTATTTAGTTCTGTTGTGTCTTATGCTTGCGTTCCTCTGATCTCATTGTTGGGGACAACTCTAGAGCGGACCGTGGGGTGTGAAAAGCACTTGAGATCTCAGACAGTCGTTGAGTCTTTCAGTTACTTATCATTTCTCTGACAGCATGACTCGACGTGCAGCTTTTGCTGATTCAGGCCTGGACGGGGTTATCTGGGTTCACTCTCTTCAGATAAGACCCTGCAGTCTGGCAGGTCATGGTAACTCCTTGTTTTGACTAAGATCCAGTTTTTTATTTGATTATTTATTTCCATAAAACTCCAGATTCAGAGGTTGTGAATGGCTTCGAGCTGCCTGACAAAAGCAGTCGTTCTTGCCCGCTACCTGAGAGACCCAGAAAAGGAAATGTGAAGTCTAAACATTCCTGCCAGGGAGGAGTAAGACTGAAAGGATGGGTGGGATCATTTCCTCTGCTTCTGTGAGAAGAAGAACAATGATTTAGTATCATGGAGGAAACATGTTGACGATTTACATCCACACCTCACAGGGCTTGTTGTAGACGTGGTTGTCTGTAGATCTTGTTGGCGTGGAAGATTTTATCACATAGGTTCAGAGGTTTAGGCTGAGTAGAGGCTGACCCTCTGAGACCTCTTGTTTCTGGGTGTGAGAGGCAGGAAGTTAAGGGCATGAGTGGTCCAGAAACACAGGATGGAACCCTGAGGAACCCTGGGTGACCTCACCACTGTGCACGTGTAAACTCTGTGCATGTGTCTGCACTCGTGCGACCGTCTGTGAGTGGCCTTGGATTTGGTCGTTCCTGTTTTGGTTCCCATCCGTCTTTATTATGACCCAGAAAAGGGTCTTTGTCTGCAGGAGGATACGGGGCGATGCATCTGCATCTGCTGGCTCGTGTGTTTACTCTGATAGAGGATGGAGAGTTCATCCCTATAAGAGTGAAATTGTTCATGGCAGGGTGTGTGTGTGTGTGTGTGTGTGTGTGTGTGTGTGTGTGTGTCAGTGTTTTTCAGGAGTTGTGCTGTTTTTACAGCTGAGACATTAACCATTAATCATCAGTCACATTTGACTCTCAGCCAGTTGAGCGTTTGTGTATTTTTCTGTCTGTCCGACTTCTTTGCCCACTTTGCTTCAGTCTATAACTCTCAGGCTGTAATAACACACACACACACACACACACACACACACACACACACACACCCACACACACACACACACACACACACACACACACACACACACACACACACACACACACACACACACACACACACACACACTGTACACATTAATCTTTGTTTTCCGTCTTTGTTTACAGTTTTACATCCAGTCCAGGTTTACTTGGCGCGGCGCTCGTCTTCTCCGCCCGTTGCTTCAGTTCACTTTGTTGATGATGGCCTTCTACACGGGCTTGTCACGTGTATCCGACCATAAGCACCATCCGACTGATGTCCTGGCGGGCTTTGTGCAGGGAGCCCTGGTGGCCTACTGCATAGTGAGTTTACACGTTCATACCAAACACACGCGTGGCGTTAAAACACAAGTGCTGGAATGTAGAACACAATTGTGAAATGTGCAAATTGGTGTGAACAGAATCAAAAGTGACAGAAATGTTAAAGCTGCTGCCAGTGGGTCATTAGGATCACACTGGTAACCTTCTGCTTGTGAGACTCAAGCACAAATATACAGACGCATGATTATCAGTAGAACAAAGCCTCAAGCATTCGTTGCAAAAGTGACTGAGCTGTTATCCTCTGGTGCTCTGGTATCCTTTGGTGCTCTGTGAGGAACACCATGAGTTCTTTTTGTTCCTTCTACCTACTGGTTTTGATGAAAATGACACTTATAATAGGTACTGAAGGAAAGATGGTCATAATGAAAAGCACATTGGAGGCAGGCCCTTGTTCAGACGTGGGTGTTCCCCACTTGGTTTCATCACACTGGTCTCCAGATGATGTTTTATCACCATCATCATTACGCTAAGCTCACATGGAGCCGAGAAAACTGAATATGGGTCAAGAGAGTAAAAAGGGGAGTGTCAAAATGAAAGAGACTGGAATGAGGTGGTTAATTATTCTGGGGCTTTTTTTATTTGGCGGCGCTGGTTTTGTTGGAGCAGCAAGTTCTGGCAAAAGCAGGGCAGATGTAAGCACACAGGCACCTCCTGTACCTTTATACCGGCCCCAGATCACCAACATGGAAAAAATTAGATTCATAAAATTAAGTAAGACTCCGGTAGTGGCGCCCAGACAGGCATTGGCACTGCACACAGAATCGCTCACAGCAGGGCAGCGGTCTCCAACAGCAGGGCTGTTACAGGGTTTGGGAGCAGAAGTCTGAGCGCAACAAAAGACTTCAACCAAGATAAAATAAAGAAATACAGAGCTCCTCCAACTGGGCGTCGCTCCGGGACGACATCAGCCTTGACAAGGAAGAAAACGGTGTTTTCAGAAATACACAGAGAGCGTGTGCTTGACCTCTGAAGAGGCAGATCTGGCAGAAGGAGAGGAGGGTGGGAAGTGACGGGAGAGAGAAGCCTTGTCTGCGTCTTGGCTCAGGATGAGTGTGGGTTTCATCCAGCTCAGCTATTCCAACAAGCCTCCTGCATGCAGAGAGACAGCTTAAAGCACACATTATCCCCATCCACGTACTTACACACCAATGCATGTGCACACACACACTGTCAAACCCCTGCCGATCAAGGCAATGGGGTTAGTTTAACAATCCTTGACGCCCCCTCTGATTTGTTGAAACACACATCTGTGAGTACTTTAGTTCGCCTGTTCTGGCCTCTCGGTGAGCAGCCGAGCAGAAAAGGCCTGACAGCAGATGAGTGGAGGCATGACAGAGGGCCGTAAAGCCGTCGCTGCTCAGAAGTGCCAGCCCGAAGTACTAAATCAAGGTGTGAACATCTTTAGATCTTCCACTGCACGTGTTTCATCGTTATTCTTTTAAATGAACGCTAAAGAATGAAATAGCACACTTAGAGGGGTTCAAAGTTCAAGTTTTTGCATGTCTGGGTTTTGTTGCATGTAACATGTTTTTGTGAGTTTGCTGCATCGTTTTAATGTAAGCATGTAGGCTTGTAGTAGGGAATGTAAAGGTGCAGCTAAATCCAGGTTCAGTACAGTTGGTTAGGGCAGCAGTAGCTCAGGAGGTAGATGGGGTTGTAGGATCGATCCCAGCTCCAAGTAGAAAATTCTGCTGCTGTGTCCTTGGGCAAGACACTTGACCCTCCGTGCTTGCTGCTGGTGGTCAAAGGAGTGGTGCCAGTGCATTGGGAGCCTTGCTTCCATCAGTGCATCCCAGGGCAGCTGTGGCTACATTGTAGCTCAACATCACCAGTGTGTGAATGTGTGTGTTCATTCAGGATTGTTTTGTAGAGTGTCTTGGGGGGTTCTAAGATGCCACACGCTACATCAAAAACAGGTTGTATTTTGCACACCTTGGCTTTAATGACATGGTTCTGTTCATGCTGGGTACGGTGCCGGAACAAAGTGAAGAAAACGTTTTTGTTTTGTGTAAACGGGTTCAGATTCAATAATTCAACGTTCACGAGCTCCTTTTGTGCTCTTCGCCGCAAAAGCAACAATCCTGAATACTCTTCATGTCCAGCCCACGTCTGTTGGGTTATGATGTCACAATCAAATCATTAAATGACTGTTAATAAAAAAAAAAGCTTTAGTTTGCTGTTTTAAATAAAGTCCTTTGGATAAAACCAAAACAACAGTAAAGAGCACATAGACTCACATAATCTGACGTTCACGGAATATGGTGCAACACTGGTCTTCACACCACGAAGGAGCGGTCTCTGGTACAGCCTACATCGACTGGGTCGGTCGGGTCCTTCGATGGATGCAGCCTCTGAAGTTGGATACGACCGCTTGTGTTGCAGGCTAATGTGTGGAGCACAGTTAAACGTTCATGTGGGAACTTCATACGCGTCTGAAGAGTTCATTCTGTGGCGAAAAATATGAATACATGTATCGTCACACTCTTAGTTTGTATGTATGCCAGTAATAATACACTAGTACCCAAGCTTCAGATTTCCAGACAAAAATAATGGGTGTGTAGCCTAGAAATCTAGACAGATAGTAGCCAAAGCAAAATGATCTTGCAGGTCGGTCTAGCCACGGTCAGTTAGAACCTGAACAGTCTTGTATCTTTCCAGTGACAGCGCTAAATCAGTTTAGTGGGCCTGATGACGATGGAGCAGAACAACAAAGGTGACGCCGGGTCAACTTTGGACTATTTAGACTCGGGCTTATCTTTGAGCAGAGCAGATGAAGGTGTTTAAGTCCTTTATTTAGAACAATGATGTATTTGCGTCTTCTTCGACTGTATATGGCGGACTGCCCTGCTGACTGACGTCTGTAGCAGTGAGTATGTCACTTGTTCCTTGTCCAACTGTAGGTCCCACCCCACGACGAGCTCTGCCTATGGCTCATGGCCAGACTATGCATTCACAGATGTAGGGCAGCTTGCCAGTCTAGTAGGTGAATGTTATGTGAACGCTTTTTCCTGAGAACATGGAATTAAACAAAAATTCTGATGAGATCTCTTCTAGTCTGAGTAAATTTTAGTGAGCCATTCGATGCAGTCTCCTGAGTTTACTGTCCCTGTGACAGGTTTTCCCAGTTTCTGCCGGAAGATTCCTGTAGACGAGCAACAGTCTTGTTTATGGACACAGTCACTGCAGCTTAGTAGTCTGTTGTCAGTAAACTGCTGCTCTAAATTTGCCCTTGGTATCTGCTATTGATCTTGTCTGAGTTTATTTTTTTGGGAGGAAGAATAAATAAAAATGTGTTCTGATTCAAACTTTCCAGGCTGTGATAAAAAAAAAACTGGAGAAACTGAAACAGGAAGTGGCTCTTCTGCCCTATTTGGCTTTTCCTAATCAATACAGACGATTTATTCAAAATGTTTTCATTCCAATAAAATTAAGACACATCTGGCACACACTTCACACATCGAGTGTGTTGTGTATTAGAGATATAAAGACCCAGAAGGTAGGTTTCTGACTCACCTGTTTGTGGCACCTTTAATGGTGGTTAAAGACCTACATGAATACACTCCCTCATGTCAGCAAGAACACGCTGAGTTGCTCAGCACAACGGGGCTGCAGGCTTTGTGTGAATTTGTCATGGACAGGAAGTGGTTCGGTCATGATAACCCCCTTTTGCCTTGGCAGTTAGAGAGTGATGGGCTAGAGTTTAGGTGACTCAGTGGCACGCTCCTCAATGATTGGCTGCCCTTGGGAAACGGGTTTTCCACAAAGGTTTGCATATGACCTCATGTCCTTTCCACTCGCCTGATCTTATCATAATATACTTCATAAGACATGGCACACAAGCTAATTATACCCAATAATAGTACCCAAAATGAGATGCTGCGCATAACTAGATCAGTGATGACATGTCCATCTCTCTTCCAGGAAAGATGAATTACCCACTTGTTTTTTCCCAAGGGGCATTTCCCTTATAGGAAAACCATATGGGAATTAGCAGTACAGCTTTCCCTATAGGATCTGCTGCTGAGTAGTGTGTTGAATGGCAGCTTCCCTGGCATAGACTCTAAGCTCATTCTTGACAGGCAGCATGGAAGGAAAAGTGGCTTCGCCTGCCAATTTTATGTGTGTGTGTGTGAATGTGATGGTTTGAGGTAAACTGCAGCTGAAGGCACCATTTCACATGAACAACCCAGGTTCTGGTGAGAGGATGTAGGAGTGCACTGGTAAAATGGAGTTGTTTCCACGGTTTCTCTTCCGCTCTGTTCCCGACTCCTTTCCTGTTTGACATATGAAGTCATTGTGATGTCAGAGGATTTGATTTTTGTTCTTTTAACGTCTTTTTAACCAAGTGAAGTGACCTCATGCTCTAATGTTAAAGTCACCCTTGTTACAGAAGATGGTTGGCTTTGTCTGCCAAATCTGATATGTTAGAGTGAGCCACCCTTCGCTCACTTCCTTCAGACACATTTGTCATTGTAGCTGGTTTGGGTTCGCCCAAAGTTTAAAAAGGAAGGAGCGCCTGGCGTTTTCATCATGGTGTCACCGTGTATAAACGTGTTTTTAAACGAAGGTTTCACTTTAATCCCTGCTTAGACTTGTCAAAGATCATCAAGACCAATTCAGTTTGTTAAGTCTGAAATATTTCCAACCAACTTTTCTTTCAGAAAAAGAGTTTTTTATGTGCATCAGTTCTTCCTCAACTTTTGCAAAACTTCCTCAGAGAGTTGGGTTGTAGAAATAAGACTAAATAATGCGTTAAAGCTGGGGTCCATTGCATGACATGACTGAAGAGTGAAGATTTTTTCATTTATTTCAATGGCTCCCCCTCGTTTCCCTCCCCTTTAAGAGGGAGCTGAAAGCCACACCACATTCCATGCACATACACACAAATAGTGTCGCTGAAGCTTTGATATGTTCCTGCTCAAACACACCTGACCCCTGAATTATCTGCTTAGCCTTCACCAGGCTCTGCAGGGGCTGCTAAGAACTCATTTTAATCAAGTCTGTGGTGTTCAAGCAGGGAAACATCTAAAACCGGCAGGAATCCAGAACTCACGTTGGTTGCTACCGCTACAACAGGCTAAAACAACAGTTCGATGTGGGCAGGGTTAAACACTACACTAATCACTTAGCGCCAATACCCAAAAGATGAATCCATTTTCGTTCCTCGCTGTCCTCTTTCACAGTTAGCCTGAAGTTTGTAGACTGACATTAGTTCAATGCAGGTTGAGTTAGCATTCAAGCTAGGCTGGTGTGCTAAGCGGACTAAGACACAGTGCATATTCTCATTGATTGGCAGCTTCCGCTTGTGGACATGCAACCCTATTGGTCGACTCTCTTGGCTCACGTAAATAATTTGTTCTGCTGTCGAGGCCAGGGGAGGGACTTAATGGAAAAGTAAAGTAGAACAGGGTCCGATAGTCAAATGTAAGCATTTTTAAGTTACTTTGGATATTTTAAAATATGTACCCTAGCTTTAAATTAAAATGAATAATTAAATGAATAAAAAGTGAAGTGACTGACCTTTCTTTTTCTCCATCTCCTAACCTCATTCTCTCGGTGTTCCCACCAGGTGTTCTACGTGTCGGACCTGTTCAAGCCCAGGGCGAAGCCATCCACGCCTCCGCCCTCCCCGATCAAGAAGGAGCTGCTCTCTTCATCCGACATCATTGACAGGAACAACCATCACAACATGGTGTGAGGGAGGCAGCCCTGTCTCTCCCATGACAGAGGAGCCAATCACCTCCCCTGATGCATCCACCCCCCACCCCCCCATCGGACAGTAGAATGTAGCGACAAGAGACTGTAGCTGCTTGTTAGATGGCATCCTCCTCTCCTTCGTCTGCAGGGCCCATCGGGATACTTCTGTGGACTAACCAGGGTGTCAGATTTGAGATTTGCACAGCAGAGTCCACTCTCACTATCCAGACGTATTACCAGTCGATAAATACTAACCACCATTCGAGCCCATTTATTTGTGCACAAGCGGAAAAGAATTGGAGAGCTGAAGGTAAATGAATGAAGAAAACTAATGACTTGACAGGCAGAGTTGGAGGTGCTGGGGTTTGATAGAAGATGCTCCACGTGAAGGAAAATCAATGGAGCCAAAAAAGATTCAATTTGAAGAAGAAAAAAGATAAACCCCTTGCCTGAAGAGAGAGGATGCGTTCCTCTCTGAACTCTCTGTGGCCTTCGATCACTGTGGGACAACAACTTCCTTTAGTTAGGGAAGGATTTTACTGCAATAAGTAGCAGCAACAAATATTAGCAAGATAGAAATGTGTAACTTACAGCACTGTTTCAACTACATTATCCATTATCACCACTTGCTGCCTGAGACGTTTGACTGAAAAAGAGAAATTCTTGACACTTCTGAACACACGAGACAAAAACATCTAAGACAGTAAAACCCAGAATGACAAGGCACTGCTCCACTTTGGCCTTTAAACAGAATCAACACCCTGCAGCCTTAAATATGTTCATCTCCATGTCAGTGTGTCAAGCTTTTTGCAGTGGACTTCCAGTGCAGCCTAAACGGGATGTTGCAGTTCTTGACGTTAGAAGTAATGAAGGGGGGGAAATGGTCTGTTGAGGAAGGGAGGCAGACTATCCCAGCACCTGCACAGGAGGTGAGGCTGTGCCACACCTCTAACAGGAGCCAGAGCCATCTGTCTGGATTCCTGAATGACAGGAAGTGGGACGGAGTGAGAGGTCTGTCACCACAGGGAGAGAGTAAGGATTTACAGCCAAGCTGGCACATTTTTTGGGGGATGATTTGAGCTCTTTCCGCTGGCTGGGAGGGGCTCTAAGCCACCCAATCCCTCAATGGCAATGGATGTGTGTCTCTCAATGTGTGTGTGTGTGTGCGTGTTTGTGTGATATGTTTGCATCGCTGTGCCCTGTGAACAGGAACCCCCCTCTTGATTAGATGTGTGTGTGTGTGTGTGTGTGCGTGCGTGCGTGCGTGTGTGTGTGTGTGTGTGCGTCAGAAAGCGTCAGAGCAGGTGAACCTTATAAAAACTGTGGATCTAATGCTTTTAGCCTCTACCCTTGCATGTTGATAGGCTGTCTCGTCGAATCACTAACCGTTCTGCAGCAGAGGACTTGCAGCCTTCTCAGATCCTCTCACCCAACAACACACGCCACCATGTTGCACATCTTTTCTGCCGTATAGTCCGTCCTATCATTTCACAAAGCCGTTTCACTCTTTTTTTATAAATATATAAATAATGTATAGATCACTAAAAAATTAACTCTGTAAAATATTGTTTCTTAACGTGTTTACATATTATCCACTATGATTACAGACCTGTGTTCTTTATAAAATGCTGCTTAAAAGCATCCGTTGACAGATTTTTTTGTATCTAGATGAGTTATTGTAGATTGTAATAGTTGCATTTGTATTTGCATTTAAGAAATACAACCTGAAATATATGAAATTCAACATTAGTATTTTTGTATTGTCTCATTTTTTTGTACAAAAGAAATGATAGTTATGCTGTTTTTTCCTGCTAAACATACGTGGCTCCATTTTATGTGCTTTTAAATAAAAAGCTCATTATGAACTCACATGGTGATCGTTTTTATGTGCATAGACATGTCCCAGGACACATGACCACGTACAGAAACAGATGTGGAGTGTTGTGATGAGCTCAGCCTAAAGGGAAGCTTTTTTCCATTTTATCATTTTCAGAAGTTTTCAGTATAAATGTACTAATTTTAAACTACGTAATGAATCACAGGGTCACATAGGAGATCTATTAGACGTGTTACTGTCAGAAATAAGGATTTCCTAGATAACTAAAAATGTATTCCAATTTACTTTTCACTTGTTTTCAGTTGGCTAAAGTAAACATAAAGTACTGGAATACTTCTGAACATCACTATCAAATATAATGTACTTAAAAACTCTAAGTTCTTCATTTATTCTAAGACAAAACGGAGTTTTTTCATCACTTGTCGTCCAGTAACAATTAACACTGTTTGCATTCTTGATCTGATTGTGAAAGAAGTGCCAGAACATGCAATAAACACTACAAAAATATAACATTTAAAAACAGCAATGCACAAAGATCACATCTGCAGTGGTAATCCGCCTGTAGCATTACAGGATCATTCAGTAGCTCTGAGTGTTTCTGCATGAGCTCAAACATCAACAACTCTGCATTAGATCAAACAGTAGATCTGCGCCTCGATCAATCAAAGATACTTTATTAATCCCAGAGGGAAATTAGCGTTTCAGTGAAACACTGCTTGTTATTTAGCACAAAAATTAAAGATTAATCTTGTGCTCTTAAATAAGATCCAGCTTACCTGGACCAGAACTACCAATCAGTCTTTTAAAGTGGATTTTCTCATGATTTAAGCGTTGAGATTTAAGGTTCTTTTGAAGTATTTCTAGAAATTATCTGTATTTTCATTGATTAAGGATGTTTATAGTCACTTAACTGACTTATCAGTTGTGTTGTGTACACATACAGTACAATAGACGATTTATTTAACAAAAAATGTATTTGAATGAATGAAATAAACTATTCATCCCAAAGTGGGGAAATGTACATTAAGACAACTGAATAAAACATAATTACCAGTAAGGGATTTCAGGAATTACCTAATTCTGTAATTTTGTCGTAGTCATTTGTTGCAGAAAACAGTCTTAGCTCCTCATTATAGCTGAGTCTGCAACAAAAAAAGCCAAAGATGACGCAAACTGAAAATCATGAAAGCTTTCTGGCACCAGCTTTAAGTAAACAGCTTTAAGAACTAAACATTTCATTTTCTGCCATTCAGCTTTTTGGTGTGAACAAAAATGTAAAAATAAATCTAAAAATGATAGTTCACTACAGAAAAAAAGCAAGAAGTAAGAAAAGAGAGTGAACGAGCATAAAATGTGAAGGCTGGATGACTTTCATTTAAAGGACCTGATGGGACTGTTGATACTGGCCGGTGGGTGTGTGTGTGTGTGTGTGGTGGGGTGGGGCGGTCAGCATTAAATTCTTACTAAAGTATGAAACTTAATAAACGAATAATACTTTTGTTAACCACAGAGAGAAGCTTGGAATTTTTAAAGGAAAATTACATATTTCTAAGGAAAAACAAACAACATAGAAAGCATGCAATTATAATGGTGTGCAACTTCCTTCAGTGTCCAATAAATTACACCCAGATCCAGCTGATCTGTGGTCAGTTGTAAAGAAAACACACCCAACCAGATTTACAGTGCCTGTGAACAGCTGGTAGACCTGGGGTCAGCCATGCGAGGCTGCAGCAGGAGATGGGTGGCTGCTGAGACAGAGAGGCCCATGTTGTGGTCGTGTTTGGCTGTAAGAGAGTAGAGCGAAGCTGGCAGAGGACCATCACAGAGAGGCCAAGGCATTACATCGTGCTCTCCCAGTTCTCTGGGTGTGCATCCATCACTGTTACAGGCCGTACAGCCAACTCCCTCTGCTTCTATTACTCATGTTTTCACGTCATTTTTATTTTAGCAATCTGTTTTCTGTGAAAATTCTGACCCAGCTTCCTGCTTGCGTATAAAAACCTAAAGAAGCTGGTATTATTGAGATTTTGGCACATGTTGGATGGATTTGTTGTTTTTCTGTGAGCTGACAAATTCTCTGTCAGTTACATTTTTTAAAACCATTGAACAAACTCGGGCTTGTTCCCTCCCTCCACTGTTGTTGCAATTTATACATCAGTATCACACAGAATATCTGCATAATGTCATGAAGCGAGTTCAGAAGACCCGTGAAGACGCCAACACAGTAAAAATATATAAAAAGTCTTTATTGAAGGCAGAGGTACCTGGAGGGCAAGGCTGAGGCAGGGTCAGAGACAGGCAAGGTCCAAATGGCAGGCAGTGAGCAAGGCAGGGGTCAGGCAAAAAACAAGGTCCAGAGGGAGAGATCAGGCTGGGTGGATGGCTGGAGAACTACTGGCAAGGCTGGTTCTTTTATAGCAGGGGAAGCAGGTGAATGGGATGAGGCTGATTACAGGAGCAGGTGGAATGAATGGAGCTGATTGAAGCTGACAGAGGTTGCTGGGGAAAACAGGGCTTGGCTGGAGCTTGGTGAGAGGACAAGGTGAGCTGAATGAAGGTATAATGAGGAAGTGGAGAAGGGTGAAGGATGGGAGTCATGACACATAATGGATTAGTTGGTAGCACTGTTGCGGCAACAGTGTTGCCTCGCAGTAAGAAGGCTGCTGGTTTGAGTCCCAGCTGTAGCCTATCTGTGTGGAGATTGCATGTACTCCATCAGAATGTGTGAGTTTTCACAGGTACTCCAGTTTCCCCACAGTACAAAAACATGCAGGTTAAATTGTTAGTTACTTTGGGGGGAAACATCGGCAAAACAATAAAACCCACAAACAAACTAGATTTATTTTTATGTGTTGCACTCAGCCAGGGTTGCCACCGTTGGGCCTCCTACAGCCTGGACCTCAACATCACAGACTGGTCAGATGTGAAGCAGCTGGAATGAAGATTCACACTTCAAAATCTGAGACCATTTTGTTCAACTGGAAAATGGCGCAACGCTGATCCCAGACTGGAAAACAGTCACTGCCCCAGGTGGAAGTGTTGTTCGTGAGTCACAGTAGAATGGAGCAGGGAAATGTTTGGGGGTGGGAGGGAGAGCTGAGTTAAAAGGAAGACGGTTAGTTTATCATTCAGTCTGAGTCACAATCCTTACCTCTGGTCCTGAGCTGCGTGTAATGACCAAAAGAGTGAGATGAAGGAAGCTGAACTTAGCTGCATCCACAGAGAAAGGTTGAGGAGCTCCGCAGATCAGATCATCTCATGGTAGAGCCTGTAGTGGGTTGGCCTGTGCATCTAACAGGGAAGCCTTCTGGATGTTATCAAGGAGAGGTGTTTCAAATATGGGTGCAGACCTAGGGGCAGATTTAGGACTCATTAGAAAGATTATGTCTCACAGCTGACCTGGAAGATGATGGATGGATGGATAGATGGACGGATGGATGGATGAATGGAAGGATAGAAAGATGAACTTATGGATGGATGTTTTATGGATGGATTTTTGGATGGATAGATGGACGGACTTATGGGTAGATGAATGGATGGATGGATGGATGGACTTATGGGTAGATGAATGGATGGATGGATGGATGGATGGACTTATGGGTAGATGAATGGATGGATGGATGGATGGATGGATGGATAGATAGATGGACAGATGGACAGACGTATCCATGGATAGACAGATGGATGGATGGATGGATTGATGGATGGATGGATGGATGGATGGATGGATGGATGGGGGGTCTTATGGATGGATGGATTGATGGACTTATGGATGGATGGATGGGTGGATGGATGGATGGATGGACTTATGGGTAGATAAATGGATGGATGGATGGATGGGGGGTCTTGTGGATGGATGGATGGAAGGATGGATTGATGGACTTATGGGCAGATGGATGGATGGATGGATGGATGGATGGATGGATGGATGGATGGATGGGAGGTCTTATGGATGGATGGATGGATGGATGGATGGATGGACTGACTTATGGGTAGATGAATGGATGGATGGATGGATGGATGGATGGATGGGGGGTCTTGTGGATGGATGGATGGATGGATGGATTGATGGACTTATGGGCAGATGAATGGATGGATGGATGGATGGATGGATTGATGGACTTATGGGTAGATGAATGGATGGATGGAGGGTTGGATAGATGGATGTATGGATAGATGGATGGAGGGATGGATGGATGGAGGGATGGATGAAGGGATTGATGGAATTATGGACGAATGGATGAACAGAGGTGATTGATAAAAGGACATAATTCATTGCAGAAGAAAAGAAGAGACTTAAACCACTATGTTGATTTCATTTGAAAATGCGTGCTAGAAAACGAGAACTAAATGTCCAACCACACAAACTACACTCTGAAAAGCATGCTGCAGCTGGCCTTAAATGATCTAAGAGCAGAGAGAGAAGATGCTTACTTTAAAGCTCATATTGGCTCTTCCTGAGAACATGTAAAGGTGAAAAGAGCAGCTCTGACTCCAGTAAGGTCAACGATCTTCAGTTCACAACGTGAAATCAGGAATCCTGGAATGAAATGGTCCACTGGCACGCATGATGTAAACAGCATCAGAGCACAGCAAGAGTGTTACTGTGGCTGGCTCTGGTTCGCTTTAAACGTTGAGGTTAGATAGAACCGATGTGCAGCCAGGGTGGTACTTCCAGGAGAGCTGAGAGGAGACCCGGAGCTCTGAGTGTTCTTTTTCTGCAGAGGCTGTCCGGTGTGAAGGAAGACAGAGACTGGGCATGGCTCTGCAGACTTCCAGCAGTAAGATGTTTACACTGTCTTTGTGTCTGTTTTGCTGGTTTTCAGCACACATGAAGTGTGTAGACATAATATGGCCCACCCTTGGAGAACAAAAAAGGAAGCTGGTGTCTAAAAAGAGAAAGAACCGTGCGGTTTTAGTGGAATGTTGTCCACCCACACTAGGAAGGCTGAAATATGAATGATGGAGGGATGAACAACAACAACAACAAACTTCACTACCTGCTCTTCCTGGTTTGTCAAGACACAACTCT